AAACTAAAAATTATTTTCTGTACAAGACTGATTTCTTTCTCTGCGTTCTACTTCATTTAAAAGGAAATAAAATTATAATATTGGATAAATCGTGTTTCAACAAATTATCTTCCTTCGGAAATAATCCTACGTTATTTTGTTTTTAGAAAGGGGCTTGTGGATTAGATATTTGCATATTTCCGAATGGTGTCATTAGACAGTATTCGACACGAAGGAAAAAAAAAGGCTTTTAATGCCACTTTTATTATCAGATCGATCCTGGCACAGTTAATGAGAATATATAGGGAAGATAACGGTTAACCCTAGACTTGAACAAGTTACGATTATAGTAACCGGGGAAGCATCCTCTTGGGAGTCGATACCACAATGTAACGGTTCGTGGGAAGAAGCTGTTCGAGTGGACATTTCATCAATGGAATACGAAGAAAATGAAGGTCGTTTACTACAATATTTGTAGCATGGGATGTCTTAGCGATGAAAGTTATATCTGGTGGAACTAAGGAATTTATCTGAACACCTTCTATGGAAATAGCAATAGAGTAGCGAGAGACTTGCAACGTTTCGTCTGTGGGAAAGTGGTTGTAGGGTGGAAAACTATTAATCGCCCACAAGGTAGACGCTTTCGGACTCAAGATTTCAGTCTTTTCTAATTGAAGCAGTGGGAGCAGCTCCTGTCCATGTGTGGCAGTAGTTCTGCATTTTCGACTTGAACTGGCTCTTGTAAAGGTAGAGAATAGGAGGAATTAGTATTTACTGGATCGGTACAGGGAACCAACCATTTTTCCAGCATCTTTAGCGATAGATCGTATGTACAAGTTCCTCTTGAGGTCTGGGTTGAGCTTGGGTCCCAACAAGCACATAATGGTTATACATAGAGTAGAGGAGAGATCAGCTGCCTGGCTCTGGTCATCTAGAGTTATATCGTTGTATCATCATTAGTGATATTTCCCAAAGATTGGAGTGTACTCTGAGGTAGATTATTAATGATAAGTAGAAATAGAATTGGACCAAGAAGCGAAACTTGGATAGAGATACCTTCGGATTTGGAGGATAGGCCATCAACAACTACCTTCCATTAGCAAGGACTTTATAACTGAGATGACTCTTCTGGTGATTCTATAGCTGGAGAGATTGTGCAGCATGTCACACGGCCTTTGAAACATCTACTGCGATCATCACTGGGACGGATTTATTGTCTCTAGTGCCTCACTGATTCCGTGTTTAATGACAGAATATCAGCAGTGGACCGAGCAGTAGACGTGGGAAGGATTTCCCATTCAAAAAGCGGTTGAGTAGTTTTACTTCCGATCGGGGACAACTTATGTTTATCTTCTTTAAGGACAACCATTGGGATTTTATCTGAATCGGTAGTCTTAAAGTCAGGACTTTTAATAATTTTTGAGACTTCCCGTGCTGTGATAAAATTATTACTAACTTTATGCTCTGTGAGAGGGGGAAAGTCGCGAAGAGGATGCATTCATCTAACCTGTAGTTAACGGCAAAAATCGTAGTGAAGAGCTTTGCCTTGTCTGTCGAGGATGAGATGACCCCCAGAGTAATTTATGATATTAGGCACCGACTCTTTCTGTCTATTGAGAATTTGGTTGGAGATTTTTTAAAGCTTAGACACAATGAACTGTTAAACGAATTATCCCCATCCCCCCCAAAATGTCGATCCTTTATAAATTATTTTCGTAACGTTAAGATTGTAAAGAGTAATAAGCACTCAAGATTAAATCTCTAAAACGTAAAATTATTGTTTGTGTAGCTTCGGACTTCGTCATTAAATATCAACGTTAAGGGTATGTAGCGATGGAGTCTTTCCCTGGACCAGGATCTTCTAGAATGGATCTGAGAAATTTTCCTTCTCGAGCGATGTTGCTCTATATATTCCCGTCATCCGGTTGTCTTTAGTGTGCATACCTTAAGTACAACTGAGTTTACATGTCGGGGGCAAGCACTCATATCCTGTAAGGCGCGAATCTGCATCTGGTGGATAGGAGGATACCTTCCAGGTCAACCCTCTGTTGCACCTGGTTCCCTTTGATGGTCTGGTGTGACACTGGTACACTACTTTGGTATTGAAAGTTTACTTTAGTATCTTTTAGGGTGAGCCCAGTACGTATCATAGATCATCTATTAGAACAAAGATACCTTATTGACATTAAATTTGATTCAGACGATTTGGTATTTCCTGTCGTGACTCAAGTACTAATTTTCGATACAAATTATTCAGCATTTTATCAGAATATCTACCACCTCTTAGCAAATTTATATCCTAATCGGCATCGTTCCTCGGGGTGTTTTTATTTTATTTTCCTTCATTGTAATAACACATTTTTTCTATATATGAAGTTCCAACAGTGGCGAAATAGTAATGCAGATTTTGTGACCTGTCATGGTAGTTAGAGTATTAAAACTGTCAGAATTATTGGATGGCGACAAAACAAATGACAGCTAATTTGGAAGGCATATGAGTCCACCTGATTTCTTAAACCTTAAGATCTTAATTTGCTGATAACTGAAAGAATTCCAAAGTCTACAACTTTTCAGTATAAAGTTAAACTTTCCATGGTTTTATTTCGAAAAAAATAATAAATATATAAATATAACTTTATGGCTTCTGCACTTAAAGAAATCAAGAGAGAAGAGTTTCTGGATTATGGAGATTTAAAGGAATCGAGAGAGAAGAGTTACCGGATTATAGAGATTTAAAGGAATCAAGAGAGAAGAGTTTCCGGACTATGGAGATTTAAATGAATCATAAGAAGAATTTCCTGGTTTATGGAGATTTAAGGGAATCAAGAAGAATAATTTTCGGATTATGGAGACTTAAAGTAATCAAGAGTGAAGAGTTTCCGAATTATGGAGATTTAGAGTATTCAACAGAGAAGTGTTTCCGGATTATGCAGATGTAAAGTAATCATGAGAGAAGAGTTTCTGGATTATGGAAATTTGAGGGAATCAAGAGACAAGAGTTTTCGGACTATGGAGATTTAAAGGAATCAAGACAAAAGAGTTTCGGGATTATTTAGATTTAAAGGAATCAAGAGAGAAGTTTTCCCGGATTATTTAGATTTAAAGGAATCAAGAGAGAAGAGTTCTCGGATTATGGAGATTTAAAGGAATCAAGATGTATCAGAATTGTTAATCAGAGAGCTGAGTTTCAATTCGGGTCACAATAAGTATATTCACTTACGCACAAATACCCTTGCAAGAGGTATGAATCTATCTTTTCTCCTCCCCATCTATGGATTAATTAGTAACACCTGTATCTCTAAATCACTATTATCACCAAAAAAATTATAAAATCTAAAATATTATCTGGCTTTAAATAACCTGAAGAGGGTTGTTAAGCTGTAGAATCAATCAAATCTTTATATTCGCTAAAGCTAAGTGTGTTCACATATATCCGTGTCCTTCATTGACAGATCACTTCCAGCCCGTACCGTGATTCGATTTCAGTTTGCATCAATGTAAACAGAATTGAGAATGCCCCGGTGTACGCTAAACAATGAAACTAAAGGAAAGATATCACACGGGGACAAAAGTTTCGAATAGATATATTGCCTTGGCAAGAAAAAAGATATCTGTTGGTTTTTATAAACAGAGTTCTTTATTCGTGTAATTCACTTGGAGTCATTTTGGGGTAAATAAATTATAGTTGGAACATCCCTGCTGCTACTTTTCCCTTAATTATGATGTGGCCTTACTATATAAACCCATGACCAGAATTCCCCACTTTCCATCCGAATATCACTTGATCTCGAAAGATTTTATATATCTGTTTATTTCCTCTTCCGTATTTGTCAGTAGTGAGTGCTTGGTTTGAAACTATAACATCTCGATTTAACTGTTGATTGTCATAAAACTGTCGGTTGCTGTCAGCCCTGATAAATCATTTAAAGTCCACTTGATTACGTTGGAGTCCTAATAAATCATATAATAACACATTGTACCACATATATGCCACAGCTAAAATTTTCGACGTAACAAAGCCGAGCATTTTAGGGAAACATAAATGATTAACATTGCGATATGTGAGAATATTTCCTGGCATTTAATCACTGATATAATTGCTAAAAGCATTTGTTTAATTTTTTATAATCAGCATAAGTTTTCAGTACTTTTCCAAATATTTTCACAACGCATGCGCACAGCCATTGAGTGTCATATAGTAAATTACGTTTTTCGTTTACTTCAGCGCATGCGCACAAGCAGCGTTTTATAGTTTTATATTTTCATCATAGAATTTAATGATATTGGCTTTAGTCTGGTACAAGATCACAAGTAAAGGGATCTCGCTAAGGATCGAACTTCTACGTTAGTAATGACCTACAAACAATTTTTAACCAAGATATAGTAAATAACTCAGGTAATTTTGAAATTTAGCTTAGTATGGCACAAGGCCATAAATATGAAGCGCTTAATTCAGTTAAAATTAAATACGATAGAAAAAAATCTGCGAAATCAACTTGTCAAAGTTTGGTTTATTGTAATTAATATTTTCTAACCATAACTTGGTTTGGGAAAAAATTACAGCTATTGGTCCCCAATGAGGACCGATCGTATGAACTAACGAATAAATTAAAATACTTATCCAATTATTATTACTTTAAATCACTAACAGAAGTACCTAGCATTACCCGGATTTCTAAATATAAGAAATGAATCCATTATGCTTTGTATGAATAGATTAAGAAGACACTTGCGTTCGATGCTTGATCAAAATTGGTTGATAAATTTGTTTTTACGACTTATCGACCCTTTTTAAGTCAGAAAAATATTTTTTACATAGTAAGAATTCTTTGGAGATAATCACGATTTTACTGATTCAAGTGCTACTAATTAACCCATAGTCGGGAGGAGCAAAGGAAGATTCATACTTCCCCAATGGTATTTGCGCGTAAGTGAATATAATGAGCCTGACTGGAATTGGAACTCAGTGCTGCAATTTCCAACTCCGAGCCGTTATCTATTACACCACCCGCACATCCAAGCTTACAGCTTCTGGTATTCTCAAGTAGTCACTCATCTAGGTAGTGAACAAGCCCGATTTTGCATAACTTCGGTGATCGTAGGAGAACCGCTGTTTCAACGTGATACGGCCGTAA